CTTTCATGCAGCAAACCCCAGAGGTTTGGTTTAACGCCGCTAATATTTATCTGTCATAAAGCATGAAACCATAAAAACTGATATGTCATCTGAAAAGCATTTCTTTTCTTCAGACTAAAGCGTGGGACCGTATATGAGGTCTTGGTCTTTTTACACAAGCAAGATAAGCCTCGGTGTGTTTTGCGGTCAGGGGAAATTACAGCGCCACAACGAGATCTTAGTCGCTGATCCTCATATTTAATATCAAATGCAGACGCAGACGTCTATCATAGATGTTAATATGTGATACAGAAAATATGAACACGGCGTACCTGAGAGGCATCGCAGCACGCCAGGGGGGAACACATGTCAATGTACTTTGTTGGAATAATACATAGTTCATTTAACTATGAACAACACTGATTGTGTCCTTTCCCCTCGTTCTCCGGTGCAATATGAGCATTGATTTTATGACGCAGTAAAGAATGAAGTAGTTAAACCCGGCCGTGGCAGGATGTAGGGCGTCCTGACGAGCTTTAAGACGATTTCAGCCATTTTCCAGGTTTCTAATTCTCATTATGGCAGACATTCAACACTTCCACCAGTCCACTTTAATAGACAACATTTCATATCTTTTACGATTGTTTTAAAGGTTAAGGACTCAAACCAGAATCTGTCCATATGAACTTAGGTAAATTCCCAAAGTGTTGCAGAGAAAAGGGAGAAGACGCGTCCTTGATCCTGACCTTTTCTGTTTTCTATCGTGTTTTTTACGATCTCACCTGTGCTGAGTGCAAATGAGGTTGAAAGCAGCATCAAATGTAGAGACTGCACCCTTGGAGGGATTTATAAAAAAAGAAATCAGGTGTAAAATAATTTAAAGAACAAAGTACCTATATATATTATATATAATATTCTTTTGAAATTACACTTGCTATTCTGAGTGCATAAGCGTGTTCACACTGACAACATGGTGAAATACAACGTATTATGAGTACCAGGATGCTGTACTGAAAACAGGTCAAAGGACACTTCTCATCCTCAATGGTCGCCATTTTGGCTGATACTCCGTCCTGGCTGCATCTGCCATTAAGAAGAAGACAGAGGAAGAGGAGGAGAAGAAGAAGCTGTCAAATGTTGCAATTGTCATTTCCATGTAAATGCACAACAGCCGTGTTGGATTTACCTTGTAGCAATTCACGTATTATGCAAATAAGTACACGCTGTGTACACAGTGTACTATTTGAAAGCGTACTGGAGGAAGTTGAGACTGCGTTCTACAGCCATGCTATTGGCTCTGTAGGGGTGGAGCTTTTAGCTAGATGCTAACAAAAACATGGCAACATGCTCACTTTATGACAAAGCTGCTATGACTAACGCTGCTATTTATCAGGTGTAATGATTAGCATGTTCATTATGTTAGTTTAGCGTGCTAGCGTGCTACCGATTGCTAATTAGCACTTAACATAAAGTACAGCTGAGGCTGATGGGAGTGTCATAAGTTTTGCAGGTATTTGGTCATAAACCAAAGGAAGGTCAGTGACCACCAAAGGTAATATATTTCATCCTGAGGGGAAATATGAACGTTTTTACCAAAAATTCATGGCAATCCATGTAGTTGTTGAGATATATCAGTCTGGACCAAAGTGGTAGCCCGGCATCCATAGAGCAAGCTGCTAGCATGGCTAAGAACACAGTCAATGAATCGAACAGGAGCAATACCAACAGTCAGATGACAAAGACTGATCATTAGAGCTCTCATACTGCTCTTTTAGCATCACTTAATACATCACAACATAATTCTGTCCCCTCATATCTTACAATTTGATTGCTCAAATGTGTTAAGTGCTCTTCACATGCTTTTTGAGTCTGAATGCCAGATGCAGCAGTATAATTTACTTCTCTGTATGACTTCATGCTGAGTGGAACATCAGAGCACAAACTCAAACGAGTTCAATTTGGCATGGTATGTCCTAAATGGGCCTAAGCCCCCACAGCACAAAGTTCACATCCCGAGCTGGTCTCAGCCAGACCGGTTGACACTGAACTGACACTCATTCTACTGGGGGGGGGGGGGATTTTGAGAAATGTTTACTTGGAAAGTTCATGACCCTTCAGATCAACCGCTCTGTCATGTCATGTGATGAAAGATACAGGAAATCTCCGAGGAGCAGAAGACATTGGCAGGCCGGAGACTTGACATTGTTACTTCTCCCTAAGCCACTTTGTAAAACATTTACCCTCGTGCTCATCTGACACGGCGAACATCACCCGTGTTCTTCCACGCAGTGTCAGCCAGGGATCCCTCAAGCTGACAGGCTGCACTGTGGACCGCAGGGCCTCTCACCCATCATGAATATTACATCGGTTTGTTTACATGCCTGCATGTGGCCACCAATAAGGAAGCTTTCATTGATCTGAGCAACTGAAAAAACCCCTGTAAATTCTTGCACTTTACTTCAATGGGCTGTTTGGTCAAGTACGAAGTCTTTTGAGTGTGTGACCTTTGGTTTCCACCCTTTCTGCACATCAAGCTTATTAGTCATGTATGACTAATCACCGCTTCATGTATGAGGTCATGGGAAGTAGCAGGTCAAGAGGCTATCAGGTATTAAGCAAAAGAAAGGACTTAAGCCATGCTGCCACTTGTTATTTACACAAAATGTCAGAAGAATGGTGTGAGTGTAACGCCGGGGGGGCCTGCTGGTGTGTTGCGTGGTTGGTTTGTTTGTGTGTACGTGTGTGTGGAGGGAGGGAAGGAGGGTGAGTGCCACAGCTGCAGGCCAACAGTTGATCCTGTCCCGGGAAACAGGATCAGCCAGGTCAGGGCGAGGAGGAGGGGGGGCAAAAGGTCGTGACCCCGTAGGGTGGAAGGGGGGTGGGGGAGTTAAGGAACAGACTTCACAAAGAGGTACATCTTCAAAAGCACAAGCCCCACTGGGGGAAATCAGTACAAGGTTGGAAAAATAAACCAGTTTGACCTCCTTTCTCGGAGCAGGAGTTTCCCCCAGGTGTTTGCTTTAACTTCTTTATTGTTCGTCTGACTTGAGGCGCTGCTCTCATGCACGTTGGCACTGCAGCGGCTTTACTTCTCCTCACAGTATGGAGGGATTCTTCTCATTTTTTACTGGTTTCTTTTTGGAATAAAGTATTTTAGCATTTTATTAAACCATTCGGCCCTCGTGACACTCCAAATGGGGTCACGCGACCCATAAAATGCTAATTACATTGTGTGTGTGTTTACATAACATGTGAGGTCAGACCATGTGCTCAAAGTTCAAACACCGGCATGAGGAGAGGGTGATTGAACATCTGTGAGCATATTTATCCCACCAATCACCATGACAACCAGTGTCAGTTAGCTCTGTATGGCCTCCATGTGAATAAACAAAGCACCTCAACAAGAGGGTATCTCATTACCACTCAGGATTAAGCACAATGGTTATCAACAGTCCACGTGTTCCCGTGCAGATGAGCCCCTGATCCAGCGCAGCCATTAGGGTTGTTTGTGTGAGGAACGAGCATCTGTAACGGTGGGAAATGCCTGTTGTGGGACTTGCGAGTCCTTGGCCTCTAGTTGAGTCATCGGTGGCCCGGTGTGCGGCGCTCACATTCTTTTGGCTTCATGCTGAGGTCACGAAATCAAAGAGAGAAGCTACAGACAAACTGCCGATTGTCAAGTTTTACACCTTGACCTTGGTTTAAACTTGCGACCCCCTCCCTCATGTTTGCCGCCTGCTTCAGCATTCAGAGGAAATCAAGGGGTTACTGGCGGTTCAGCCTCGATAAGAATCTTTGAAATGAGAGAAGTTCACGGAGGGGAAAGGTTACCAGGAGTTTAAAGAGAGTGCAGCCAGTCATGTATTAAATAAAAAGGGAAGTCAGGGCTGAGGAACTTTGCGCTGTGATTTTAAAAGTGCACCGCAGACAAAAAGCCGTCTGTTCACTCGCCTGGACTTCATATTCAAAACCCAGTGTGGGGGGAAGTTCTAGCGTGAACTCATCTTCACCTTTAGGGAGTCTCACGATAAGGGCTGCTTTACTGGAGTCTAGAAAAATGATCACAAAACGGGCAACACAAGAATTAAGGTTCTGATTTGACGATGCAACGACGTCTATTTGGGGTTCTGAATAAAAGAGGTTTTGGTCGTGTGAGGGACGTCCTCGAGCACTCAGTGTACATCTGGTGACCTCTGCGTGTCCTCCCTCCTTTCAGCGTCTTTCCTGCCTTTGTTAAGACTCAGCACTGTAAGAACAGCAGCCAACTCAGAAGCAGACATTTCAGGGCAAATACAGGACATCCTCTCACTCCACTCCAGCAGTGTCTTTGATTACAGAGTGCCGTTTGGCTTTGATCTCCCTTTTAAACATTATTCTTTCTTGTGAGGAAAGTCAGATTATTGGGACGTCTGCTGCCTATGTATTGCTTTACTTTATCACCAAAGACTTTCATTTCTAAACTCATATCATGCAGCACGTCAATAAATGTGTTTAATCATTGAACTGTTAAAGTGACCTCTCACATGAATTAGAAGTAGGCTGCACGTGGCTATTGGACAGGAGAATATAATGAAATAATGTAGAGGAATATAAATGTGTTTTAGCTCTCCCCAGATAACATCTTATAATCTAATATACACATCAGCCCCAATGTGTGCATGGGACGAAAAACAACACACTTCTGAATAGCACACTAGAAAAAGAGGAACACATTCATACGAGGTCATGCATTTCAGAACTTTATTTTTGAGATATCAGTGCAAATGAACACCAAAAAAATGAAAACATAAAAAAAAAAGAAATTATGTTTCAGGTCTTCACATGAAAAAAATGAAACATCTTTTTTTTATATATATATATATATATATATATATATATATATATATATATATATTTGCTGCTACAAATGTATTTCTCAGATGCACATTGCAGATCTATGATTGTACGTCAATCCCCCACTATAGCCCCGAGCTCTTTCACAGAGCTCTTGTTAACCAGTAACAGAAAAGAAAAATCACAAAAATATTCAATGCACGTTTATTTTTCACACATTTCAGAATGAACTTGCTCGACAGTCTGCGGTTATTTGGGGACTGTTGGTATTCTAAACGGACCTCTCTGTGATAAAAAAGACCTATTTTTAAGACTTGACATTTTGCCCCATCACCAGTAGGGATACACAGGTAGTTCCCATGCGTCTGCATGCAACAGGCAGCAGTGAGGAGAGTCAGACATTATTACACAACACAGCGCAGGATAGATTATCATTTACCACATAGAGACACATGCAAAGAACAAACCAACCAAAAAAAGATGGGCATAGCATCCTCTGCCTTTGTATGTACACACGCATATAATTCATATTTACATGTCAGGGCATTAAAAACTAGGGTAATATCTTTTCTTAAACATTACAAAATAGTCATCTTTCATACTGAAAGTACTATTTACACAAATATATTTAACCATTGTGAAAATGTATTAATAATCGAAGAGACGTACTTCATAGGTATATGTATTAAAAAGATCACAAGACTAAATGGATAAAGCAGTGTGTGACATTAACCGAAAAGAATACAGTACAATCAAAATAAGGAGCTAGATACCGGATATCCCTCAAGACACCAAATGTCCTGGTGGTTATTGGGGGGCAGGTACACATATCCAGCTGCTTGGAAAACAAAGATGTACCCGTGGTCTTCTCTTAATTACCATGCAATTCTTTTGACATTTTATGAGTTAAGAGGCTGCCACAAAAGAAAAGAAATATGTCCATAAACCACAACAGTTGAAGAAAGATGAAGAAAAGAATCACAAACTGTCAAATTCTCAACGGATAACAATATTGACTTTTCTTTTTTTATTACATGCCATTAAATGATTCTGGAAAAGGACGCAGAGGACTCGACTTTCGATAGTGCAAACTCTAGGTGGTCCTTCACGTGAAAGGAAAAGCAAAAAAGCAATGTGCTTCACACTTGAAGAGAGAAGTGGTGGTGAGATACGCTTCTCAGCCTTTTAGCTGTTGCTCCAGAAACCTGTTTACATACAGTTGCTCAACGGTAAGCACCACACGCGCCCTGTTAACCCATCTGCCCAAAACTGCACAATCTGCAAACACATCGCCCTGAATTTGCACTGTTGAATATTAAAACGTTCAATTCAAATTAAAGCGTAACTCAATGAATTGTGACTATTCTCTGGTAATTGTACCACACTGTGAAGCATTCATCATGGTAGGATCCTCACTGCAGCTACTGCAGTGTGAATAGTTTTCAAGGTCCTCCTTTGAATGAATTCATCATGTGCATTGTGGTAATAGACCGCCGTGTCTGCACTAGAATGGCTTTATTTGGAATCTTATCTAAAATTGATGGGTCTCTGTCTTATCTGAAAATGTTCTGATGGAGAAAATAAATAAATGTCCACTGAACTGAGCGCTAACATTTTTCGAGTCATCAATAATAAATGTTGCCTGAAATGTTCTTCCTAAATGTTTTATGGCCGGCAACAAAGGGGACATGGAATAGTGATATGTGTAGAATTCAGATACAAATAAAAAGTGCAAAACAAGAGCAAATTGTAAAGGACAACTTCATAATTGACCAAATTAAATATGCAGTGAATGGTAATCACTGGTGGGAAAGGTTCAATTTGTGACAGTTGTGTAGTTTTGCTTGAATCAATTAGACATTTTGCTATGATAGACCTGTTCTGTACCACTCCATGACATCGCTATGTAAAATTGAGAAACCAATGCAAGTATGCATTTGAATTGAAACTTGCTCTATTCCACAAAAAGATCATGTTTGCAGTCTTTGTTATTTGTCCCATCAAACCAATTTGGCAAGTCATTAAAAAAAAAGGAGAAAAAAAAGTCAATGAATTCAATTCCGCTTTGTATTTTTCTGTAGTTGATACAACTTCTACTCGTATGATTGGCTCAACCCCTGGCTCTCATGGCTGTGCTTGTCATTGTGGTTCGGTGATTGCGGGATGGAGCTCAGACTGTGTTCATAAGCATGCATGTCACTGACTGGCTCTTCTTTAACTCTGACCATAGAGTGGGTTCCCTCTGCCTGATCCCGCACCTCCTTTCTCAGCTGAATGCTGCCCTTCTGCAGCATGTAATACAGGATGGGGTTGGAACGCGAGAGCCGTGGAGAGTCCGGGTTTGAGTCACAACCCTCCTCCTCCTCCTCCTCATTCTCCTGACTACTCCATCTCACAGGGCTCTCGGGCTCCTGTTTGACTAGAGTAGGCGGGTCCCGTTTTTGAGCGACTGGCCATGGAGCTGGCTGGCGGCTCCAGGGGGTGCGGATAGGGCTGTCACCTGCAGGGGGGGTAGGCAGTGGTCTGAGATTACTCGGAAGCCCTGAGTTAAGGGAACCATGGGGGTGCCAGCTCGGCAGGTGGAGGAAGCTGTGATTATGGGCGGCCTGACTGAGAATGCTGCCGTTGGCCTTCCCATTGGCCTGCAGGACGGAGGGACTGGGTGTCCCCCGGGGCTGCTGGGACAGCTCCTTCAGGCAGTTGTCAGAGAGCAGCAGCTGTTTGAGTACATTGAAGCCCCGACTCTCTCTGGTGAGGGTTTCACTTGGTGGACTCCTTGGTGGAGCCTCCTCTTCCTTCACATTCCTCTGATGGTCAGGCTCTTCCTGAACAGCAGAAGATGCAAAAATGTTTATGTCGCCACTGTCCACTGCTCTTGGACAGCTGGTATGATTCAAACTATCAGTCCGGCCAGAACAGAGGCGTCTCTTCTTAGGACTGGGGCTTGGATACTCCCTCTGTTCCTCTTTAACCGGCCTGGGCTGTGACTCAGCCTGCATAGCAGAACTGGTATAGTAGGTAGCAGTCTGTTGTTTAAGTAGCTGGCTGAGGAGGCCATATTTTGCTATGACCTCTGCAGGCCGTGGTTCTGTTTTTAAGTCTTGCTGACAATCTGAGCGGGGGCTATTCTTCTCGTAGCCACTAGGTCTCTTTCTGCCACCAGAGTCCTCAGACATGGCCAAGGACGGTCCCACCTCCTCAGTAAACTCAGTTTTGAGCTTTATGTTCAAAGGGGGCCCATTGGAGCTGTTACAGATGAGGGAGGCACCAGGGCTCTTCTCATAGCAGCCCCCTGCAACCTCCACACTCCTCCTGCCACTGCCACTGGGCCTATCTTTGCGGCTGACTGGAGCAGTAGCCGAGCCCGTTCCTAGAAGGAGCTGCAGCACAGTGCGCCTCTCTAGAAGGTTCTCGATCTGCGTTGAAGGAGGAGAAGCTTCCTTCTGACTGAAAGGTGTGCCACTGCCGGAGGGTCCGTCTGAGAGTGGAGTGGTGGTGGTCCTGTGGATTGGAGCATTGAGCCTTTCCAATAGGGCAAGGGGCCTGCTGGCATCTAGCTCCTGACCAAGCCCTTTGCTGGAGGGGATGGGTGGGGAGGAAGAGGCTGTGCCACACTGAGCCAGATTTTGTAACAGTTTACTGGCACTGAAGGCAGGCTCTGAAGCCTTCTCAGCAGGGAAGGCTTTAGATTTACACAAATCCAATGGGCTGGACTGGACATGGGGGGAGGGGTAGGAGTACGGGGACAGTGCAGCACTAGTGTCCCGGCTGAGTGGTGAGTAGAGGGGCTGGGCTGGGGCTACAGGTCTATCTATGGGACTTTTTGTCCTGGTCTCCTCCCAGGGCTCGAGTCCCTTTGGTTGGTCTCGAGCCATGGTGGCCATAGTTACATCAACAGGAAAATCGGGGTTACCTACGCTTTTATTAACCATCTCATTATTTCTGCGCTCAAGAAGAAGCTGCATAAGTGTGACTTTAGAGTGTGATTTTAGGTCCTGGCTCATTTCAGGCTCCTTGTTCTTGCACAGCTTTGATCCTGGTGGCTCTGGCTTCCACTTGTTTATTAAAGATTCTGTTAGTTTGTCCAGAGAGGAGGTAGACATAGAGGAGGAGGAAGATGAGGAAATAGCAGTGGAAATAGAGGGGACAACAGTAGAGGATGGAGAAAAGGTTGCGGTGGAGGTTTGAGCAGAAGCTCGGGGAGAGAATGCAACTGGGGTGGAGGAAAACACAGTGGTGGAAGAAGAGAAGTTAGAGGTGGAAGAGGAGAAGGAGAAGGAGGAAGAGGGGACGGTAGTTTTGGGCCCTGTGTCTCGTGTACTGACCCGGCTTCTTATGGAGAGGTCAATGGGAGAGCAACTCGAGTAGGAACTCTCTGCATCACTGCTGTCCTTGGTCAGGCTCCTCTCCTGGATCGAGCACTCGCTGTCCGATGTGACTGAAGATGAGCCGCTTGGCGGAAGAATGCCACAGCTGTCCTCCAGGTGCCCATTCTTGGTCAGCTGCTTCTGGTTGTTGTGGTTGTTGAGAAGCAGCAGCAGCAAGCTGCTGCATGTCTGCGGGGGACGGGTTGGACGTGAGTCAAAGCCTCGCTTCTCCCTTGGTGGTTGGCTCAGAGTGGCGTTTGGAGCATGTGGGGGAGTGGGTGGGGAGCTTTGACTGTTGCCACGCAGCAAAGAGGGGCTCTGTGGACTGGACAGTGCCGTTCGAGGGAGTGTTGTTGTTATTGTGGCTGTTGTTGTCATTTCATTTTGGGTTGTTAGGGAGCTTAGTGTGTCTGAGGCTCCAGGCAGAGTCCCTCCCACACTAGGTGGCCTGCTGTCCTGGCCATACTGCTGGTTTGCCATGGCAGCTAGTCTCTCGCTGGCAGATCTTCCTGAGAGCTGGGCTTTGAGTGCATGCTCTCTGGAGTATTGCTGGAGATGGGCTTCACTGGACAGCAGCAGGGCCAGTTGACTGCAGGCCACACTGGGCTTGGGTGAAGGTGCAGGACTAGAACGGATTTTCACCATGTTGGCCACCGCCTTCAGACGATCGGCACAGGACACGGATTCAGCAGTAGTAGAGGCAGAGGGAGGCGTGGCACTGTGTGCTGACCGAGGTGATTCTGGGGGCCTGTCCTGACTGTGTCCCCTGCGACTGTAAGGTGTGTTGCTGTGATTTTGAAGTTTGCTCTTCCTCATCAGGCCCTTCAAGCGGCTAGAGGCTGTCCCATACACAGGAAGTGGCTCTTTATCCGCAGGTGGTGCCTTGGATGGAGAGGAACACTCACTGGGGGGTTTATTAGAGTGCTGAGACATTGCCACACTCTGAAGCCGTGAACTGAATGACTGAAGCAGGGATGCCAACAGGGTGCTTTCCCCGGCATGAGGAGATCCCTCTAGTGTTCCATTTTGCAGGCCTCCCACTTGGCCATTCAGCTCCATTGGGGGTGAAGTCATCCTCTGGGTCCCTGGATCATTCCAGACTCCAGAGCGTAGTAGGCGTGCCTTCTTCAGGTGCTGCGAAGAACCCAGTGTGGGCCCGTTAGTTCCAGCTTTGGGAGCTGTGGGGCCATGATTGGGCAGTTGGAAAGGCCCGCCCACCTTGTCACCCTGCTCCTGGTTGCTGTGGGCAGCCTCAGACCTCCCGCTCGCCGTGGCCCCAGGCCCGGCTACCACTGGATGCATCAGTAAACCTTCCAGATAAGTTAGAACAGCTGAATCCTTGTGTGTCTCAGGGCCAGGCTCCTCCCCATGAGTCATGTTCAATACTAGGATCCCCTCGTATGGTTGAGCACTGCTACTAGGAAACAAATGTCCACTAGGTCATCTGGTTGACAGTGGCATGTACTTCCTAAATACCAAAAAGAAGAGAGTCTGCAGTGGGCCGGAGGATGCGCCGACCAGATGCGATCCCTTTCGGTAGTGGGCACAGTCAGCACTGTGATGACACAGCAACCATGATTGGAGGCAATCTGGGGCAGGTGGGCCTCCCAGGCATTGTTGTATGCCTTTAAACACTGTAGGATCCCAGAAGGTCCAGCTCTAGGCTTATGCGAGTAGCAAGCGAGAAGTCAGCGGGATTTCACCACAAAGATGTTGACACATTCCGTGGCTTTGGATGTTTGGGATGTCTGTCGTAAGGCCTGGCTGTGGTCCTGTCAGTGGCGCCTTTCAGCTTTGCAGATCTCACATGGGGGACCTATAGGAGTGAGTGAGAGAGAAAAGAGGAGGGGGGGATGGTTGGGTGGAGAGAAAGAGGAGAAAAAGGAGAAACTGTGTGAGAAGCGGGGATTTACACAGCACTATATGACATTCATTTCACCACCTTGTCTGCCATCCCTGTTACTTAGCAACATTTCAGATTGACTGCACACGGCTCCTTCTCCTCTCTGCACTCTCCCCTCACAGCCACCGAGCAGACGACGAATGTAGATTAGGCCTGATTGGATCCAAATTGAAAATGCAAGCCCACTACCTTGAAAACATTCAGGTCTTGAGCTATAAGCCCCTCACAGCGATGTTTTTCAAAAGTGAAGGGCCTTGTGAGAGCTGTGAATAATTTCTTATGCAGCTTGTCATTTCAGTGGATTACCCCCCCCCAACACCACCTCCTGCTCCTTATGCACTTGAGCAGCATCTCAAACGATGCAACCCTCCACACAAAGCAGGAGTCACCCACCCACTCACATGAAACACAAGTAAGCATTAAGCACGCATGCCTAGACACAAGCATGAAGACATACATGTGCATGCATACTACTCGCGCAGATTAAGTGAAAAGCGGCTCAGTCTCAGGTGTTTATTAACACCAGGCCAGCTGTGAATTCTCAAAAAGCTTAGTTCCTTTGAGCCTGAATTGTTTTCAAATCAGAGACAAAAGCAAAACATGAACGGACTTGACTTGATGCGACTCGTGTTTAAGGGTACAGTACAAAGGCAGTGGACAATTACAGCAACAGACAAGCTGTACTTGACTGTCAAGTGTGTGTTTGTATCGAGGGGTGGGCTGGCTTAATGATCAGGTGCACCTGTCACACCACACCACTGTCAGGAGGGCAGAGTCGGTGACACTGGGGTGAGCATTGTGCCAGTTGCCATGACAGTGTCAGCGGCACTGCCCTGGGAGACCTTTGCTCTGAACCCTGTCAGCGTGGTTTCCATGGATACAGGACACCTCCGACAGTCCTGGCCGTGTCCCATAAAGGTTAATTAATACAGAGCTTCCCCCTTCGCCTCAGATGCTGTCTGTGTCCTTTCCCGATGCCGCCCTCACCTTTGGTGTCCGCTGAGTGGACCGACATAGCAGGTCACACAACAGGACAGCAGCCCTTGATTATGACGAAAGGCCATGGCAACCCACATGGCCAGCGGCCTAAATACTTCACAGAGAGCAGTAGCTCGGGCCAAAAACAACAAAGCAACACGCTTCTAATCAGGAGGAAATCCATCCTGGTGGCCAAGGTCCACAGGTTGTCATGACAGTAAGGGCGACCAGGTGGCACTTGAAAATGAGCTGGGATTAGGAGCTGGATTCAAGGTGATCAGTGCACAATTAGGTGGCAGCAGAAAAACAGGTTGGCGGTTTTAAGAGGGCAATGTATAGAATAGAACATCAGCGTCAATTACAGTTCAAGGCCATTTTTAAGCGGCTGACCTAAATCTGACAACAACAAAAGCCAACCTTGTCATACTGGGCCATCTGACGCCTGCTGTCATGCTAATCTTAGATGCTCAGGATTAGGGCTATTTTCCCGCCAGTGAGCTTAGTGCAATTATAATAGAATGCCCTGTTACACCACGTTTGATCAGCACAGTAAACACGTACACATGTTTATCTTCAACACAGCGTGGCTACATAACTAACATGCGGTGATATCCAGTTAGTGAGAGAGAAAATGTAAAAAAGGACAAGAAACACTGACATAGTTTCCAACATGAGAAATTCTGTTAATCTCTCTGCTGCTGGCAGTAAACCTTTGGAATTACAGTTGACCGTGTCTATGTTTTTGCTCAAAGAAATTTCAATACAGAGCAGACAAGGCAGCACAGGGACACTATGACACTGCACTATACTAGTTAATATACAACAGAGCTACTGCGTTCACTATCTCACATAAAGCACAAATAACTCTTTAAACAAAGTGGGGACCTTCAGGCTCTTGAGAGACACGGAATGACGGAGCCGGTGTCAAAAAGCCCTGCGACAGCAAGGGCAAGAAAAAATATGTTCCCCTCAGTGACAGAGCTCGGTTAACAAATAAATGACCTTAATATAGGGAAAGCTGTCCTCTGTGCCGAGCCCCCAAAGCATACGGCCCTCCTCCTCTCTCCCAATGTGTGATGTGTGCATTACTATTACATTATCTCCCCCGGTGTATACATTGGAAATGACCTTACACATCTGTTAACATGTCATCTCAGCGGTGGTGGCACCCAAAAAGCCTGACCTCCACCCCTCCACCAGCCCCCTCCCCCACCGTGAGACACCACAGCACCGATGAGGTGTTCTACAGTTTCTGTGGTGATTATCCATTATCCTTGACAATGTCAGCCAATGACAAAGCAGGCGCCATTCTAAAGTGATTTTTACCCCTACAGTCGGCCACGTACGTGGGAGGGCACAATGATGGGGAGGTGGGGGGTGTGACAGAGCCATCATCCCCTGGCTGCTCGGCGGTGCTCCGTGTGTTTCGCTCCTCTTGTGCTTACCAGACACCGGGAACAGGAAAGGTCACTGCACTCTCAGCCGCCGCCGGAGTTCCATAGAATTACCAGGAGGCCCACGTAAAAACGTACCGATGCAGATGTCAGGGATCGGATCTCAAAATGAGACCTTCAGACTGACACACAGACATGAACCCACTTGCTGTTTAATACAGCTTCTTTTTTTATCTTCAAAAAAGGGACTTCCTGAATGACCTTCATTGTCTGGAATGGTAATCCATTTAAAATGTATGAGACCAAACAAAAGAATTAAAAAGGGGAAGAGCCAAAAGGAGTGGCAGTTAAAGTCAAGGTCATTCACTCCGCCAAGGCTTTTCCACTTGACGCAACAGCTGGTGTCCATGCAAAGCTCTGGGCGTTAATAAAAAGTGACAATGCTGCCCAAGCGGTGTGTATTACTAATGTCTGACACCAGCCTGGCAGATGTGTTCTCCCTGCATTTAAGGGGAGTCAAGGTTAAAGGAATTTAAGAAGGAGGCGATGCCTAAACACTATTATATCATGTAATCTGCGGCCCAGCTCTGCTGCACACACTCAACGGGGTAGCTCACTTACACATGCGGCGTGACCGCTATTTGTAAATCCAATATGGCCTGACATGATTAAATAAGACAAAACATAAGCTACCTGACCAAACGCCGTTGCTCCGGGCCTTCCACAACGAGTGAACGAGTGCGCCGGAGGAAAGTTGAATTAAAAGCTCTTTGTTCACCTTGAGAGAGACATAAACAAGAGGACCAACACGCTCCGAACAGCGGGAGAGCCAGAGCAAGAAAATGTTTCTGCAGATAAGTCAATCAGGACAAAATAACAATGAAACGCAATACGCACACATATGCACGCCCACACAATGAGAACTAGGGCACTCTGACCCACTTCTAAGGATGCATTGACCAAACAAGTCGTGCATAGCAAACATGCCTCCATGTGCACACACACACACACACACACACACACACACACACACACACACACAC